CCAGAGCACGTATCCCATAACAGAGAATGTCCCAAGACTTGTAAAAATGGGTATCCAATACCCACATCTAGTGATTCACATGGAGACAAATGATACTGCCAGAAGGAACCTAGTAAGCATTGCCAATGATTACAAGATCTTGGGAAAGAAACAATTTATAATCCTGGTTAAGGATCTAGTTCATAAAACAAAAGATGATAAGAAGATACTTGTCTCACATTTTGAAAGAATAATTAAAGAGAGATTAAATTAAAAAGTATTGTGAGGGAGGAAGTTAATCAGCTACATATGTCAACCAATCTAGATTCCATAGAGAGACAAAACATTTTAGAAAGAAGACTAGTAGCTGAGACACATAATTTCAGAGAAGACAGAAATCAGAGAAAAATGTTAGTAAAATTCTTTACCTAAAATGTCTTTATACAAATGCACAAAGTTTTGCCAATGAACAAGATGATCTAGAAGTCCAAATGTAGAGAAACATATCTGACCTCATGGACATCACTAACCTTGGGTTTGAGAGAAGGCAGAACTGCCAAATTCTTATTTTGTTGCTGTTTTTTTCTTTGTAAGTAAATGACCTTTGACTTGGAAATGACCAAATGAAAATAACTAATAGGGAATTGATACACAAGAAAAGTGAGGAAATAATAAGATAACACTTATCTGCCTTTGATGAATTCAGGTTACCTGGGCCATATGATTTACATTTTTGATTAGGAGAATCATATCTATATAATTGTGGAGTTAATGATATTTGAAAAATGGCAAAGAACATAATAGGAGAAGACCAAGATTGGAGAATAACAAATGTCCTGAAGAGAGAGAAAAGCATAGAGAGAGAAACACAGAGAGAGAGAGACAGAGAGAGACAGAGAGATTCTGATTCTTAGGAAAATTTTGGATTTCTGTGATTATTCCTTCCTTTCCAATATGTTTACTAATTATCTTTAAATAATATTCTAAGTCTAAGGAAATCTTGACAGTCTAGAACATTGGACTGAATCTTATAAACTTTGATAGAGATAAATGTAAATTTTTACACTTCGGTTAAAAAAATCAATTTCACAAGTACAAGATGGAGAAGCATGGTTAGACAGTAGTTTACCTCAAAAAAAAGATGTGGTATTTTAGTGGATTGTATGAAAAGTATGAGTCAAAAGTGTGATATGGCAGCCAAAAAAAGAAACAAAACCCTAATGAGATCTTGGGATACATTGAGAGGGATGGATTCCAGAAATAGAGCAGTGATAGTCTCACTGTATTCTGCTTTAGTCAGACTACATCTGCACAGTTGTGTTCAGTGCTGTACACCACAAATTAAGAAGGACATTGAAAATCTGGAGAACATCCAGAGGCTAGCAAACAGAATGATAGTGGGTTTTAAGATAATGTTATGTGGGAACTAGTTGGAGGTTAGCCTGGGGAAGAGAAGATTCATGAAGGGGCATTATGATAGCTGTCTTCAAGTACTTGCAAGGCTGTAATTTGTAAGAAGCTTTAGTCTTATTCTGTTTAATCATAGTGAAAGGAACCAGGAGCAATGAGTAGAAGCTACAAAAAGGTAAATTTAGGCTTGGTAGCAGGAAAAACCTTCCTAATAATAACACCTGTCCAAGAGTGGAATGGGCTGCTTCAGATGGTTTTCTTGGTTGGTTCCTTCTTACTGGAGGCCTTCAAGTATAGATTGGACACTAAGTTGGGGATGTTGTCGACAGCACTCATTTTAAGGTATGGGTTGCACTAGATGACCTCTGAAATTCTATGTCTGTAAATAGAAGAGAAATATGGATAGAGCTTTGTGAGAAAATTCTTACATTAAAGAGGGTGAGAAAGTAAAGAAGTCTTTGAAACGGATGTAAAGAAGGAGTGTGTAGTATCATAGGAGCCAAGAAAGTAAACATTATCAGGAAGGGAAGGAGTGGTAAACTGTTTCAAATAATACTTAAAGGTCAAGGAGGAGAAGGACTGAGAAACAAGCTTTGGATTTGGTATGTGGAGATGATCAGTCCCCTTTGGAAGAGCAATTTCATGGGATATAATCCAGGTTGCAAGGAGTTGGGGAGCAAGTGGTCAGTGAAGAGGTAAAGACAGGATATGTAACTTTATTTTTCTAGAAATTTCACAGTAAAATGTAAATGAGGTAATAGCTTAAGGTAATATCAAGGGATGGACTTACAAGGAAGACCTGGACATGTGTATAGATAAAGCATATAGCAGAGTAGGAAATATTGAAGCTGCACAAAAGATAAGTTATATTTGATGGAGAGAGGATCTGGGAAATGTGAAAGAAGACCAAGGTCAAAAGTAGAAAGGCTAACTTTGGTTAGAAGGAGAGCTATCACTTCTCTAGAAATAAAATGAGAAAAAAAGAGTCCATTAAAAGAGAAGGAATTAACTGGTACTTTTTATGTTTGTATTGATATTTAGCAACATTGTGGAAATTTATTCTAGTCCATGAAATAATCAAAACCATGTTCTTCCATATGAGACAAAAGCCTGATGAATGAGAACCTCCCTAGTACCATTTTTTTCTTTTTGCTTTTTGGTGAGGCAATGGTGTTGAGTGACTTGCCCAGGGTCACACAGTTAATGAATGTCATGTGTCTGAGGCCGCATTTTAACTCAGATCCTCCTGACTCCAAGGCCCGAGCTCTATCTAGTGTGCCACCTAGCTGCCCCCAGTACCATTTTTAAATAGCAATAAAAACAAATAAAAATGTTCTTGTCCTGTGCTATATAGCATTATTATTGGACACTTGTCTAACATAGATAAAATCTCACTCCTGGGGTTACTAATGCCTCTCTCTAACATAAATGAGACTTTCTGATGTGATTGAAATATGTAAAATGAAGGTGTACACAACAGCTATAGTTATATGTTCCATAAAGGAGATGACCATTGTTGTTGAGTCAAGCTAGCAAGAAAGTTTTGCAGGTTCATCCAGGGATCACTAGCCCTATGTCTAGGGCAAGTATTGGCATTAAGTATTCCATGACTGCTCCAATTAGTTTTCCAATTTTCAATGTACATATTATGAAAACATGTTATGTTACGTGCTTAAATGTATTGGTGTGATTTGTTTTAAATAGACAGATTTACAATTTGTATAATCAAGTAAGCATTTTAGAAATTGACTCTAGCAACTCCATTAAACTCCATAAAACAAGTGGTGCTTAACCAGAGAAAGAAAAAAAATGGATTATGGATAGTCATTAATGAGCTTCACTGAGGATCGAAGTTAATTTTATATACCTTCCTGCTTACTTGCACATGAATCTTTCTGTCCTCTCCTTTTCTTCCTCTTTGATTCCTTTTTCCTTCCCTTCATTCCTCTTTCACTTTTTTCTCTTCCCTACTCAAGTAGAGCTCCATCTATAGGCTGTTAGAAGCTACAATCCCTCCTCTTTAGAGCAGCAGGCTAAAAATTTCACTCTTCTTTCTTTTGCAGTTCTACTCCACAGAGGAATTTAAACCACACCACCCCACCCCCCATCCCCCGGCCTTAGAGATATAAATTTAGCAACACCCCAACATCCAATGTCCATTTTAGGCGGGGGGAGGGAGAGACGGGGTGCGGCGAGAAATGAAAGTCACATTTGGACCTAAACTAATAACTGCAGAGGTCTCTGGTCAAAAAATAAGTAAATAAAAGGGAGGAAGGGGAAAGGAAGGCTGCTCTCCCTCAGACGCTGGAACGCTGTCCAGACTCTGGTGCTGAAATTTTGAATCTGTGATTTTCAGAGCCACGTTTATTTAATCCTGTGCGGAATCAGCAAATGGAGGGTGGGAAACAGAATCGGGTTCCTGCCTTTGTGGATTTCATTTAGAAGTTCTTTTATTCTTTTAATTTAGGATGAACTTCTTCCATTGTACAAAGTAGGAAAAACTAGGGGTGTTGCTTTAGAGGAGTATCCACGTAAAGGAACCTAGAAAAGTGTGGGAAAGTGAAAGGACTAAGTTTTTGTCCTCATAAGGGAAATTACTGGATTTATGATCTCTTTCTTCCCCAGAGGACAAAAGACAAGAATGTCTGGGACCTTTTGCCCACTTTCCGTCTCAGCCGTGAGAAAAAAGCAAGCTCTTTTCAGGTAGTCTATCAAACTCAGATGTTCATTTGCATTTATTTTTAAAGCTCAGATATTACATTTGACAATATATTCAAGGTCACGCATGGTTCTTATAATAAAGTTTCGTGTTTTGTTTTGTAGTGATGATCTATGGGGGGAAATGGAAGGAAATAAATCAGTAAACCAAAATTGGCATATTTGAAAACCTGATAGTTTCAAAAAGACAGCACATTGCTGTCACCCCTTCTCTGAAATGGGCAGTGTTGACTAAGTGTTTGACTTCTTAGGAAAGGCTATTTACCATTTCCCTAGGTTTGCACTGTTAAAAGATTCTCAACTCAACAACAGACTTTTGTGATTTCTGCAGGATATTTGCAGAAATCAAGTCTCCAACGAGCACAACAAAAACAAACAAATCAGACAAACAAATGCAATCATGAGTGCCTCAAACTGATCGGTACTTGGGGTACTCAAATGGGGCATTTCACTTCGATAGATGTATATTCTTTTCATGGCGAGATAGCTACAGGGATAGAAAAGGCAGCCGCCTTCACAGAGCCAAGCAAACGGTTTCACGATTTTTCTTAACCCCCGCTGCTTTATTTTGGCCGCTTCCTTACCCCGCCGGGAATACCATCAAGATCTTAGTCCAGGTAGATCTGACGTCAGAGATGGCTTTCGTCGATTTGACGTGTAAACACTCATTTCCATTCTGGCTCCGGAGGGTTGGGGCTCCATTCAGCCCAGAGACAGAGGCGCTGTGCTGTGCGCTTGCTGGAAAGCTCCTACTTCTGCACCTCCTATCCGTTAGCATAGCAACGAGGAGCAAGAAGTGATCCAACAGCGTCTGAATCTTGAAAGATTGATTTCTTGGTTGTCTCTCTCCTATATTTGCTTCTCTTCCCTCCTATTCCCATCGTGTGTGTGCAATGGATGTGAGATATTGGTCTCTGCAGTATATTGCTTTTGCTCTCTATTTCTCCTGGTGTGCAATGTACAGTGGTAGAGCAGAAAAACAGTTCGTTAATGAATGGGCAGCGGAGATTCCTGGGGGTCTAAATTCAGCCAGAGAGATAGCAGAGGAGCTGGGTTACGACCTTCTTGGACAGGTAAGCTTGCACTTCACAAGTTACTTTCTGGTGCTCGGGGCAGGTGTAGTTGTCTATATGTTGGGGTCTGCCGGTCCTGCCAATCTTCTAGTCGTGTTAGCACTAAATGAGGTTTGCTCTGCTTGACTTGGTCCTTTCTCTGTGCGGGCTGTTAGAAATGCATGCATTACTTGCCGTTTCTATGGGTGCGACCCGGCAGAAGCATGTTTGTGCAACTGGATGCTATTCTCTTTCCCACTCACTGCCTGCTCTCAGATCGAAAACCGTCCCAGTGCGGTTTCTAAGTGAAATCTCTTCCCCTTGCCTAGGGAATTCCCAGTGTACCCAGACTCCCGGGACCCGCCGGGCAGGAGTCCCGACGCACGCAGTTCCTAGAGCCTCGACCCAGTCTGCGTCAGGAGCAGCTGGCTGCTTCCTTGTTTTCAATATGGCAGCGTCATAAGCAAGGCAGGCCTTGGTGATATTGGCTAGCCGTCCCAGCAGCTGCAAGGGGGCATGCCAGAGCTACTGAGGTAGAACTCAGTCTGAGACGGGTCGAATCCCAAAGAAGCTCCAGGGGTGCGGAGACTGCCGGAACTGTCGGGGAGCATTGTACTGAATTAGGGGACCGCCCCCCGGGTCCCAGGCCCCGCCCTGCCCACCTTTTCTGGTTGTACAGATGCTTCACCGGGAAACTTGCGAAGTCTGGGCTCTCAACTTTTACCCATCTGCCTCCCGCCCCCACTATCCCCTCACACACCCACACACCCGAGGCTTCGAACTACCTGACTTTGGGGAAGGGACCATCTAGTCCTTCTGCCAGGTGCGTAATCGCTATGGCCAGGGGTCTCCCTTCCTGGGAAGGAAGAGCCTGAGAAAAAGTGGGTCTCAGATTCACAGAAATAAGTGGTGAATAAGAGAGCTGGGGGGAAGTGTTTATCTGCCAGGCTCAGTGACAAATTATTCTCTTTCCTAAATTAAAATCCCCGCTCGCTGCCTGGGAAGTTACTGTGAATAGGGGTGAGTGACTTGATAGGTTGAGCGGACGATGAGGGAGTTGTACTTTCCCCCCCATTCTTCCCCCTGTTTTCTTCTTTTTTTTACTTTCTTTTTCTTTTTCTTTTTTTTTTTTTTGGCGCGTTTTCCCGGAGGTTGTGGTCGTGACGCTGCTGTAGCCACAGATGAGTAACTGGATTTACGTTTCAGTGTAATTGTTAATTCTATCCACTGAGACCAATAGGGAATGCAAGCAAGTACATTGCACTTCCAGTGGTTACATTTTTCAACTTGGGTCTGAAATAATCGGCAATCCCACTATCAAGTAAAATCCTTCAGAATTCCCAGTCCTTTGTACAGGGAGGGACTGGAGGAATAAAATGAGGACCAAATATAAGGTTCCAATCAGAGTCTAATATTCCTTTCCCTTTATCCACGTGCTGGTAAAAAAATTCTTTTCCTCAGTAGAACTACAAGTCAATTCAACAAATATTTTTGAAGTTCTCCTAAGTGCCAGGCATTGCTCTGTAGCTAGGGATACTAAGATGAAAAATAACAGTTCCTACCCTCAAAAAGTTTAGAGTCTAATATGGAATGATAAGGCATGTTCACAATTACAGGGCATCGTGGCATAATGGATCCTAGAAACAATATTTTTTTTGGTAGTAGAGATTTCATTGGTGTAGGGGACTCCTAATGAAGAATAACGATCATCATCTGTTCTACAACTTGTAGTCTTAGATAATTGCCTAGAGGCAGGAAGGCATTTAGTGACTGGCCTAGAGTCATACAAGTGAACCGCAACCCTACTGGAGTGTGAGAATGAGAAAGGACTAAATATAGTCATCTTAAGACTTGAATCCAGGTTGTTTGGGGTTTTTTTTCCTTCTGTCTCTGAGACTACCTATAATATGAAAACAAAACCATATGATAATCCAATTCGGTTCCAAACAAACATTTATTAATTGCCTACACTTTGTACAAGGCACTGTGGTAGGACCTGAGGGTCTGAGGCAGGGTTTGACGCAAATTCCTTCTAGCTACAAGCCCAATTCACACAGTTGTTGTCCTCAAGGTTTTTACAATCTAATATTAAGATTTTTTTTAGTAATGGGGAGTAGCTAGGTAGGGCAGTGGATAGAGCATCAGCCCTGGAGTCAGAAGGACCTGAGTTCAAATCCAGACCTCAGACACTTAATAGTGTGGCCCTGTTCAAGTCACTTAACTCCATTGCCCTTTTCCCTTACCCCTCAATTTTTTAAAAATTAGAACAAATCAAGAATTGTCACCTACAGATGGTTAAAATAGCTCACAGTTATTTGCATATGACTTGCATACATGGCCTTTTTTTTCCCTACAGAATTTCTCAGTGGAATATTTATTATTATTCTGCCACAGTTTTCCCTTCATGATTTTTTTTGCGAGGCAATTGGGGTTAAGTGACTTGCCCAGGGTCACACAGCTAGTAAGTGTCAAGTGTCTGGTCTGAGGCAGGATTTGAACTTAGGTCCTCCTGACTCCAGGACCAGTGCTCTATCCATTTTGCCACCTAGCTTCCCCTCACTTCATGATTTCTTACACAATCCACTCTCAATGACTTAGATAGCCATTTGCCCTAGTTTATTACTCAACATGGTTAAGAGTGTATGTGAAGGCAGAAGTAGAATTGGGAGGGTCACCAGTGAGTGATCTTCACTTTGGGTTGTTAAGGTTCAACCATTTGTAGGACACTGTACCAAATGCCCAACATTTGTCTCTGGTGCCTAGCACAATTCCTTGAATATAGTTAGCATTTAATAAATGTTTGTTGAGTCAATTGTTTATAATGGGGAATCAACTAGAATAGACACACTGAATGGCAAAGCATTTATTATGAAGATTATTTTTCTCAAGGCATTTGTAGTGACTAAAACTAACTCTTCCAATGAAAGTATGATCAGCATTGCAGAACATAATCATTCTGACTCAAATGTATGTACCTATAACTATGGCTATGACAATAACACAAATCATCAGCATAGCCTTTATAACACTGTCTATTTAAATAGTACCCAAGAAGAAAAAACATTTATTTCCTCTCAGTTATATTGAATTCATCAAATATTTATTGAATCTCTTCTATGTGTCTAGCATTGTGGGAAGCAATATCCTATGAAAATGTTCTGCCTCTAAATGGAAGCAGACTCTTTTCCATTAATATAGAATGAACCAAAATGTTCCACAACTGAGGTTCATTATATTCATGTATGTGCTACCAAAAAAAGAAGGGTGAACATCTGTAGTGTGATGTAGCAGAAAGGGCACTTTCAGTTAGGAAAACAGATTCAAATCCCACCTGAAATACTGAGTCTTTCTTTGTTTCAGTTGCTCCAAATGTAAAATGACAAGGTTGAAATCAGTGGCCTCTAAAACCCCTTTCTTAATTCTAGTGTTTTCCCTCTGTTGATTATCCTGTCTATATCATGTTTATTTATACATAGCTGTTTCCATGTTATCTTCCCCTTTAGACTATGAGCTGCTTGAGGGCAGGGACAATATTTTACCTTTCTTTGTATCTTCAGTGTTTATTAGAATGTCTGATACATGATTTAATAAAAGTTTATTGGCTGACTGATCTTCAGCTCTACCTCTATGATTTTATGAAGAGGCAAATCCTAATTTAAAATCCAAAGAACAGTCTAAATAAAAGCCATCCTTTACAGGTCAATTGAAATTGGTTACGTTTTTCAGATACGTGCTTCTTTGAGAAATGAATTTTTTATTTTGAAATCTCTCCACCTTGTAGATTGGATCACTTGAAAATCACTATTTATTCAGGCATAAAAGTCAACCAAGAAGGTCTCGAAGAAGTGCCATTCACATCACGAAGAGATTATCTGATGATGATCGAGTAAGTTCTTTAATTTCTCTATGAGCCAGTGTGCCAGCTTGTTTCCTACTCCTTCATTCTAATGAAAGCCAATGCACTTTTATTCTGATGATTAGACTTAGTCTATAATTTTCCTTAGTGAAAGTACATGCTTTCACTAAAAAAATAGTATTTCTGGGTTAAGTTGTATGAGATGATAAACATGAATGAATATAATATGCCTATTGTATACTTACTTTCATACTGCAAATATCTGTGATTTTGTCCCTGTGGCTCCTTCCAACCCAGAGCGCAGTCCCTCTAAGGACTTGATAGAAAGTCTTTGAGATTTGTTATTGCACCAAATTTATCTCCCTATAGCCCTCCTGGTAATGAGCCTCAGGACCAGCAGTTTGCTAATACCTGCCAGGGATGATTTTTGTTTGTTTTGCTTTTGGAACAACCTCCAAGAAGCCAGGCTTACCTCCACTGTTCAAGTTAAGACAGAGGAATAAGGATTCAATAAGAATATGTCTATCAATCAATCAACAAACATTTATTAAGCACTATGCTAAGTGCTGGGAATACAAAAAGAAGGAGAGGGATAATTAACAGAAGGAAAACATTGGAATTAAGAGGGGTTGGGAAAGCCTTCCTGTAGAAGGTGGGATTCTAGTTGGGATTTAAAGGAAGCCAGAGAGGTCAGTAGGTGGAATGTAGGAAGGAGAGCATTCCAGACATAGGGGATAGAGAAAATGCTCAGAACTGAAAGAGGGAATGTCTTGTTCCTGGAACAACCAAGAGGCTAGTCACACTGGATTGAAGAGTATATGTCTGGGACTAAGACGTAAGAAGATTGGAAAGGTAGGAGAGGGTAGGTTATAAGGCCTTTGAATAGCAAACAGAGCATTTCAAATGTGATCTTGGAGGCAATAGAAAGCCACGGTAGTTTATTGAGAAGGGGTGTGTGTGACATAATTGGACTTGTACTTTAGGGAGTGTGTATGTCTATACACACATACATATGTGCACACATATATATGTATGTACACATATACACTTAGATATACACACACATATACATATGCAAGATGTTCCAATTGCCTTAGTTTAAAACTGTATATTTATATGTGTTTTATATATATATATATACACACACATACACATATGTTTAGTGGAGGACTATATATCGTGGAAGATATAATTATGTATAATTACATATAAAAATTTTACTTTTCATAATTATATCAAGTATAATATATATTCCTCCACTAAAGTCTTATTCATATGTCTTACCTCAAATACAGATATTTGTTATATAAACATATTTTAAAATACCTAACCGATCTTCACATTAGACCAGGAATCATGAAACAGATTTTATTTACATAGCAATTTATAAAAAGCTTTCCCTACAGCAACCCTCTGAGGTCAGTAGAGACCCATTTTGCAGACAAGGAAATCAATTCCAAGATAGCTTAGGAGATTTATCTGAAATTGCACAGTTAATAAGTGGCAGAGTCAACATACCAATCAGCCCTGGACTTCTGGCTCTAAGTCCAGTGGTTCTTCCATTTTACCACAGCTAGGTTCTAGTATAAACTTAATCTACCTAATAACTCTCAAAGACATTTCACAAGGCTAGCATACATGTGTACACACACACACACACACACACACACATACACACACACAGTGTCCCAAAAGTCTTAGTGCATTTTAAGCTATTAAATCTTATTTTAAATAGCTATTCAAATAGCTGTATTATTATTATTTATTGAAATAACTACTTTAAGCTATTAAAGACTTTGGAGACACTATGTACACATACAGAAACATACATATATACATAATCAGATGGGGTTTTTTTGTATTTAAGGATTAATTGTCAATGTCAATAACTGTATATAATATTTTACTGTCCATCTGAACTGTACTCTTTTCCATACTGGGCACATTGTGCCTATTGTCTGATTAGCAGTTAAAGCTGCTTTTGCTCTTGAGTATGCTGCTGTTTGTGGCTATTTTCTTTTGGGCTATATATGAGATATCTTGCTTCTGATTGATACCTTGCCTTTGGAGCTATTTGTTGTTAGTACTTATCAACATGGTTAGAGCATTCACTTGGTTCATCCCAATATATATGTATATATGTATATATATATATATATATATACACACACATTATATATAAAATTTATAAAATATTTTAATATTAAATACATAATATATTAATTAATATCATCATATAATATTAAATAAACAAAATTACACACATTATATATATATACATATATATATATATATATATATATCTGTCAAGAAAATACACTTGCAGTCACTCAGAGTGAAGTATCATGTGCCACATGATCCTTCCAAAAACATCCCCACCATGGGTGGCCACTGTACTTCCAGCATGGGAAAGATAGGGAGACTCAGCTTCCAAAAACCAAAAAAAAAAAGAGCAATTGATTTTGGAGTCTGACAACCTATGTTCAAATCACCCCTCCCCCCCCAAAAAATTACTACCTATGAGAACTTGCATATGTAGGAATTTACATGCAATAAATGATCATAGATTTAGAGTTAGACAAGATGTTGGAAACCATCAAGCCCAAATTTCTCAGTTTATAGACGAGGAATCGATTTATTTTAGTTTCTAGCCTTTATTATTCAGCACTATGTAGCTATGTCAGATTATACTTACCATAGAACTTAATAGATTTGATGATGATGATTATGATGATGATAGAATTGCTATAGCTCATTTTATCTTCACAACAACCCTGGGAAGTTGGTAGGATAACATCTTCATTTTACAAATGAGGAAACTATGGTAGATAGAGGATAAGTGACTTGTCCAGGGTCACACAATTATTAAGTGTCGGAGACTAGATTTGAACTCAGGTTTTCCTGACTCCAAGTTCAGTGCTCCAGGAGCTCAAAGGAACTTGAGAGGGCAGGTAGTCCAATCCCCTCATTATCCTTCCCTGTATCTTACAATATCATAGGTATGGGGAAATGCAGATGAGAACATTCCCTACACCAATGGAGATCAACAAATGGTCTTCAGTCATCTGGGGAGAAATTAATTGACTGGCCAAGGGCTAAACAGCCAATATGTATTAGAGGTGAGAATTGAACTCAGTTCTTCCTTTCTCATGAAGTAATTTGCTAGAGATCATACAAGAAGTAAGACTTGAAATCTAGTTCTCCTACCTCCATATCCAGTAAGTAGTCTTTTCAATGCTGCTTCTCACACTCCTCCAAGGAAGGGGTTGTGTTTGGAATCTGTATCAACCCCACAGCTTCTTATGCTAATTTAAGGATCCCAAGTAATCAATAGCATTCCTGAGATGGAAGCTAAGATTGAAAATGTCTTTAACAACAACAACAACAGCAGCAGCAGCAATGATAATGGCCAACATTTACATAGAACTTACACAGTGCCAGCTATGCTAAGTGCTTTACAATTATTATCTCATTTGATCCTCACTAGTCTTGGGAGGTAGGTGCTATTATTATGCTCATTTAACAAATGAAGAAACTGAGACAAAGGCTAAGTGACTTGTCCAGGGTCACACTTTGTAAATGTCTGAGGCCAGATTTGAACTCAGGTCTTCCTGTCTTCAGGCATGGAACTCTATCCACTATACCACCTAGTCAAGAAAGCAATCTATCAGCGGGAAGTAGTATAGACAGTATTTACTTTTAAATAAGGACTAGATGACCTTTGAGATCCCTTTGAGATTCTATGATTCTATAATTCAGTGAATGCATGAGTCAGATTCCACTCCCCACCTTAATCCTCCACCTCCATCCTCCATATTTGCCCCAGCTCTGATATATTGACTGGCTACACAGTTCACTGTTAAACTCAGGGATCCTAATATGGCAGCCCAGGTTGGAAAAGGCCAAGGAATTTTCTAGATGTGTATAGCATGTGCCTACTAGAATCGTGTGGATTCCAGAAATGCCATTTATACTCAGTATCTCTGGATAGGCCAATACAATCTGGTGGAAAGAACACCAGACTGAGAGAGGAGACCTAACCTCTAGTTCAAGCCCTGCCATTAACTGTTTCACTTCTGCGCTTCAGTTTCTTCCATTGTTGGTTGGTTGGTTGTTGTCCTTTGTTCTTGAAGAGGAACAAAATGACATTTCTATCACAAGTCAACGTAGTGTGTCTGTCCATCTGTGACTGATCAGATCAATATGAGCCTGAAAGGCTCTACCACAGTTCAGGCACAGACAGACTACATGAACATTTGGAGTGGAGAAGTCTCTAAATTTGAGCATCTTATGTTTCTTTTGAGCTACTGAAATTCTGCTTCAGTGATAAAGCTCAGTGCCTTCTTTGACGTGGGCATGCTATATTAGGCAGTCCTTTGCCTGTGTCTCTCATCTCACTCAATTGATTCAACAGTTCCTCAGAGAGGGGTGGCTAAGTGGCGCAGTGGATAGAGCACCGGTCCTGGAGTCAGGAGAACCTGAGTTCAAATCTGGCCTCAGACACTTGACACTTACTAGCTGTGTGACCCTAGGCAAGTCACTTAACCTCAATTGCCTAGCCCCTCCCCCCAAAAAAGAAAGAAAGGTCTTCAGAGAGAGTGTTCTCATATTGCTTCTTCTGACCTCCATATGAGCACTTGCCTTGTGTGTGTTCTGTGTAAAATAGTCTTTTAGGCAAACATAGTCTTGGCATTCAAACAACATGACCAGCCCATCAGAGCTGTATTCTCTTCAGTTGAGTTTAAATGCTTGGCAGTTTAGCTTGAGAAAGGCCCTCAGTGTCTTATCTTGACAGGTGATCTTTCTAAGACAATTTCTAAGACAATTTAAATGGAAGTGATTCAGTTTCCTGGCATGTCACTGATACACTGTCCAGGTTTCACAGGCATACAATAATGAGGTCAGCACAATGGCTCAGTAGACCTTCAGTTTGGTAGGCAATTTAATATCTCTTCTCACCAACACTTTCTTTTGGAGCTTCCCAAAAGCTGAGATAGCTCTTGCAATACATACATCAACATCATCATCTATGTGTACATCCCTGGAAAGTCTACTACCAAGTAAGTGAACTTATCAACAGCATTCAAAATTTCTCCAGTTGCTGTCACCAGTGGTTCTACTTATGGATGGTACAGTACTAGCTGATGGAGAACCTGTATTTTCTTGCCGTTACTTGTTAGGCCAAAATTAACACAAGCAGAAGAGAATTGATCCTCAGAGGCTGCATTGAGTGCACAATCATCTGTGGACAAAAAGTCATGCACCAACTCTCCCTCTACTTTGGTCTTAGCACTTTAGTCCTTTGTAAATTGTAAAACTGAAAGGGTTGGATGAGATGATCTCTGAGCTTCCTTCCAGCTTCAACATTCTTTGATACAATGATTCTGTGTGAAGTAGATAACACTAGAATAACTAATGGAAAAAGCAGTGTGTTGGGATATAGGAGATGCAGGTTTAAGTTGCAGCTCTATCCTTAACTAACTCTGTAGCATTAAGCAAGTCACAACTCCTCTCTGGGCCTTAGTTTTGTTTGTTTTTATTTTTTTAACCTGGATAAATGAGCTGGACTAGGTGTCCCTTCTAGCTCCAGCATTCTGTGTCTTTGTATTTGACAAACACAAGCAAATATCTTTCAGGGTCCCTTTCCAGTGACAACTTCCTTTCCTCTCCTCAGGCCAGACCTCTTTTTGCAGGATGTGTATCAGCATTCACATGGGGTCTTATCTCCAGGCACTGTGGCCACACATGTTGGTTCCTCTGGTTAAACAATAGCACATATTGAAGCCAGACTGACCTCCACAGCTGTCATCAACACAGTTCAACCCTCTCCCTCTGTCCCCTTCTCTAAACTCACAGAGGAAAGGGTGATTGGGCAGAATAATGAGAAACTAAGGCTTTTTGAATTCAGAGTATCCATGGAAAAGATCAAATAGCTTAATTTTATTCTTAATGTGTTATTGCCCTCTTGGAGCCATTATGGTCTTTACAGGAAAACAAGAGAGAATGTGAAGAAGAGTTAGGCGTTGATCCACAGCGGGTAGCTACTTATCCTTTAATAAAATCCTAACCAAGATAAATTTTATGATAGCATAAATAATATTCCTATTTTGTTTCCACTTTTATTGCTAGCCCTTCCCCTTTAAGACACTTCCTGATTTGGGGGGTCCCCAATTACCTTATCCAAATTTTATCTATAATAAGAATGTTTCCAATTTGCTATATCATGTAAATTGCATTCTCCCAGAAATTAGTGCAGACTGCTACATGAATGACATTATCTGTAACTATGCTTCTCAGAATTGTAAATCAAATCTCAATGATTGCCCCCTTTCATTGCTCTGACTGACGTTTGCAAAACGAACTCTAAGTTTCATTTTAGTGCATTTTGTTTACATTTTTTTCTGATTTTCATTCAAATTATCACTTAAAATGAAATGCAATTATGTATTCCCTTCCTAAGATTGTGCTAGAATACTCTCCAATTGGAAGTGACCCTCTTCTCTAAAGACAAACACTTGTTTCCTAGCAGCCTACTTCCAGAAGACTAATTTAAATTATGGGCAGTCTATTCTAAGCATTGGATATATTTCAAGCTGACACAATATTGCTTTCAGATATATGCAGTTTAAAAATAATTCATTAGTGAGTAATTTCTAGTTCCTGAATTCCTCCCAATGTTTATGGTAGTTTCACAGCACATTTTCTAATTGAAGCATCAAGATGAACTCAGTGATTGATTTTTATAGTTTATTTCATATTATTTTCCCCAATTTTACTTTTACATTTAACTCATGAGTTCTCACTTACATTTATTAAATCCCAATACACACTGGACTTCCACTTTGGGTACAACAGAGGTAACATTTTAGGTAGGGAGGAAAGGCTCCTGTTGCTCAGCAAATGGGTCTTACTAATATAATAGTGAGCCTTGCTTGTTAAAAGTCTTGCCTGGTACAAGAAAGACAACTAAGGCTATTTACCATGCGTTGCTATTTGTTCAAATTTTAGTGGACAACAGTGAGCTCAGTGTGAGGCAACAGTATGATAGGGCAGCCAAGAAAGTGAATGCAATCTTAAGTTTAAGAGAGGATTTATGTTGAAGATTGTGGAGGTTCATACAATCCCCGTACTCTGCCTTAGTCAAATTAAACTAGGAATATTATGTCACATTCTGGACACAAGATTTTAGGAAAGAGAATGTCCAGAGGAAGACAATCAGTATGATGAAGAGCCTCTAGTTAATGACACGGTAGGAGAGATCAAAAGAACTGGGAATGTTGTACCTGAAGTAGAGAATACTTAAAACCACAACATCGCATCTTCTAACTATCTGAAGGGCTGTCCCATGGAAGAGGGAAATGTCTTGTCCTACTCATCCCCAGAAAAGAGAACCGAGGGCAATGAGTGAAAGTTACAAAAAGACAAATTTAGGTTTGATGTAAGGAAATACTTCCTAACAATTAGAGCTATCCCAAAGCGGAATGACCTGCCTTGGGAATTAATGGGTTCCCCCTCAATGGCTGTATTCAAGCTAAGGCAGGATGACTACTTCTCGGATAGGTTGTAGAGGGGATTCTTGATTAGATACAGTTTGGACTAGATGGCTTCTAAGGTCCCTTCCAACCCTGAGATCTTGTGATTCTATGATGAAGAAGAAAGAATATTGGAATGAAAGTCAGAAGTCCTAACTTGAAGCCACAGTTCTCACCATTTAGTAATCATGTGACCTTGAGCAGTTTATTTCATGCCTGTGAACCTCACCTTCCTTATGTGTGAAGTGGGAATAATACTACCTACGTCATAGAAGTGTTGTGACGATAATCCATACATGAATGAGATAGTGTATATCAAACATTTATAAACTGTAAATTGCTCTACAAATGTCAGCTTTAACTAAATGATACATAAACCAAACACATATGGGTAGGTAATCCTAGCCAAAAGAGATTGAGGGGCTAGGCAAATAGAGACAGACACAGTTTGGGAGTTAAGATCATTTAAGTTACTAGAAAAATCACCTGGTCTACTTACTTCATAGGAGTGTTTTGAGGAAAGTACTTTGTTGCCTTAAAAGTATCATACATATATAAGCTGTTTATCATCTGATGGTGTGGATGCAGTTGAAAAAAAACAATTAGAGAATCTTAGAATGTTCAAGCTGCAAGGGAGTTGGGAGATTATATAGGCCCAACCTTTTAAATGAAAAATGGAATGAAAATAAAAATTTTTATTTTATTTTTAAATAAAAATAAAAGCAAATTATATGACATACACTGACCATCATCCCAGAGAAATGGAAAAAAAAACCCTCATTCCGTTAGTCAAACACTTTTTTAGATAGTGTAGAAACATCTAAAATATTGAGTGGATTTTTTTCTTTCATTCAAATCCTTGTATAGAAAAAGCTAAGACAAGAAACCATAAAAAAAGACTTACACTTTCTAAAACCTATGGTCAGGGTTTAAAATGTTTAGGGCATTATTATTTAATATTACTTATGTTGCATTTTATATAAGGTACATATGGCACACTTTCTACCAGGTGCATATCTCAAGCTCAAATTCACAGAAGCATGAATGTGTGACTATTCTATGATAAGCCTATGATGCACTGGGTAGGGTGTGAAGTTGAGACTTTAATCCTTTTCTCAGTTAATCCCCAACCATTTATGTGACCTAAAGATAATCATTCAATGGCTTTGTGCCTCAGATAACATCCTGTTACAGACATTGTCTATAGGGAAGATGATTTTCATATAATTTGATCTACTTACATAATATGTGATTCAGTATTAGTGATCCATATGTGGGCCTGATGGTAGATACGGAGACCTTTCATCACGACTTTACTGTAATATTATAAGCTGTTGTCCTTGAGGATGAGAGACTTAGAATTCTTTCCTCACAGTTTCTGCTTTGTCAGTGCAAGTATATGATGAGAAATCAAATTATAGTCATCCCTAGACTCTCCTTCATTTGTCAAGTCTCTCTGTCACAGTAGACACATTTACAATCACAGAATACAATAATTTCAACATTAAAATGGACATTGGAAAGTGTGTGCTGATGAGCAAAGGTTATGCTTTTGTCTCTTTTGTAACCACAGGGTAAATAATTTGAAGGAATCATCTCTTTGGGAATGGTTCTTTTCCTCCTTGAGGTGTGCTTTACTGTTATAAAGGAAATGCTTATCTCCCTAGTTGGCACCCTCCTAGCATTGGTTTAGACTGAGGTCAGATAGTCCATCTGCCAGATCTCTGGTGGGGCTAGGATCTGATGGGGGTGAGGAGAGTGGTATTCTTGGGGAATATTGCAGTTTTACCTATCCAAAATATCTCTGCAGGTAACGTGGGCTGAGCAACAGTATGGAAAAGAGAGAAACAAACGTTCTATCCTAAGAGATTCAGCAGAGGACCTCTTCAATGACCCAATGTGGAATCAGCAGTGGTATTTGGTAAGTCTTTACTCAAACATGGATGTGCATAGGTCAGCTATTTTACATTTTCATATCGACATATTGGGGGATGCAACAACCCTGTGTGAGCTTGGGTTAAAGCCAAAGAATTCTCACAAGATCTCAAACCTAGTCCCTTTGGTGGTGGAAGGGAGGAGAGGGAGGTAAGAGAATTCTGGTGCTTTGTTGTTGTTGTTCAATCATTCAGTTGTGTCTGACTCTTTGTGACCCTGTGGACCATATTGTCCATGGGGTTTTCTTGGCAAAGATACTAAGTGGTTTGTCATTTCCTTCTCCAATAGATTAACGCAAACAGACGTTAAGTGATTTGCCCAGGGTCACATAACTAATAACTGTCAAAGCCAGATTTGGACTCAGGTCTTCTGACTCCAGGGCAGCTAGGTGGCACAGTGAATAGAGTGCCAGGCCCGGCAGGAAAATTCATTTTCCTGAGTTCAACTCTGGTCTTAGACACTTACTAGCTGTGTGACCCCAGGCAAGTCACTTAATCCTGTTTGCCTCAGTTTCCTCCTCTGTAAAATGAGCTGGAAAAGGAAATGACCAACTACTCCAGCATCTTTGTCAAGAAAATCCCAAAAAGAGACATAAAGAGTCAGACACAACTGAAACAACTGAACCACAGCTTCCTGACTCCAGGCCTTCTGCTCTATCTACTGAGCCATCTAGCTGCCTCTAAGTTCTGGTGCTACTTTCTACTAAATCCCCAGAGAGAACAATATCCCAGGGCCCTTGTATTGTTGAATGGAGGTCAATTCTTTTGCCTATTCAGCCTTTGAGAAATTGGGATTTATTTCCTTTTCGACCCTAGGCAAGTTACTTAACCACTTTGAGACTCAGGTAATCAATCATCTGTAAAAATGAGGTAGTTAGACTAGGTGACCCATTCAGGTCTCTTCACGCTCAATCGATGACTTTAGAATGGTGACCTGAGTTTAAATAATGCCTCTGAACATACTGGCTCTCTGACAAGTAACTTGACATCTCAGTGCTCTAAATCATAGGTGTCATACATGCATGAGGTCCCAGGTACAGCCAGGACCAGATTAAAATGTAATTGGAAAATATTTAACAAAATAAAATGCAACAAAACTCAAATAACATTGCATTTTAAACCTACATCAATTCTGGTTCTACAAGGATACTTATGTACAGATTAGTGGCCTCCATTTCCATTCTGACTATTCTAGTCTGACACCACTGCTCTGGGCAATCTTCTAAGTTTCAGTGACAGTGCCAGCTTACATTGATAAAAGGAGTTTCTTCTTCTAGGAGTGCCCTATACCAATGGAATCAAAAATTGAATTCTTCTCCCTATGTATTGAGGGGTTTTTTTGGTACATTTTTTATTCATTTTAAACTTAAATACAAAATGAGGAAAAGGAAAAAAAGAACATTTCCATGTACACAGCAGAACATAAGAGAAGATTCAATATAAAACATAAATTTTCATTTCAAGAAAACCTATATAATAAATACTACACATTGTTTTCAAAGACACCCAGCTTTTCTGTGCTTTCTTCTAGGTTTTCTTTTGTTCTCTGCTGTGCACTTTTAACTTTATTTTTCCCCTCCCACCAAGAAGGCTATGGATATACATACATCTGCATAGATATCTATAGACATGCACATATTTATACATACACACTCTTATACATATATGTAAAACCATATTATACATATTTCTACTTGTCACATCGTTCTCTGGAGGTGGATAGCATCTTCCTTCATAAGTCAAACTCTTTCCATGTTTTTCTAAATCAACCAGCTCATAATTTCCTACAGCACAGGAATATTCCAACACCATCACATCCTATCTGAGAGATAGTCTACGAAAGTCCCTCCCCCAATTTTCTGTTTTCCTTCTATTCTTGGCTACATTGGTTTTATTTATACAAGAACATTTTAACTTAAAATAATCCCCTCTGTATTATTCAGTAGAAGAATACACTTCTCCATGACTCCTAACTCTATCTCAGTTAGTTACTTTTCACAGTGAGAAGTATAGCCTCCCTCAATGTTCCTGAGGCTGAAACTCCATTCTCTTAGGAATTTGATCAGATGTGTGCTATGTGATTTGAACACCCTAGTTTCCTTCGTAGCACACTTTATTGGCTCCTGCTTGGTAGGCTATGGTTTCTATGTACTCCGAGCCAGTAAATGGGAGAAGGGTTTATTCTGCCTCTGGTAAAAATTTTTATTCTTGTTACATACAAGTTACTGACTCCTTTGTTACATATCTGATGACCTCTCTTGGTGTTTTGCTTCCATGGACCTCCATTCCCTGACAGCCCAGCCGTGCAGTTCCATACTCCATAACTTTAGAACACAGAGAGATGGAAAGAGAGAGGGAAGGAAAAAGGGAGGGAGGGAGGGAGAGGGAGAGAGAGAGAGTGCCCTCCAACATAAGCTTATTCTCTAAGTCACATGAATTTGGAAATATTCAATTAAATGACATCATTGACTGGCCATTGCAGGTTGCCCTTTTTCTTCAGGAAACAAAGATGAAAACACTCTAGAGATATGACTATGTATGCACTAAGCAATCAAAAGCATAGAGGAATGGTAATCTGTGCCTCACTTTATTTTTCCAGAGAAAGGGAATATAGAATATCAAACAAAGCTTTGGTAGATGGAAAGCTTGAACATTTCATTAGAAAAGAAAGAAAACAATGAGCAAGTGGCTTCTTCAAAGCCTCATCCTTCAAAGAGAAGGGGCCCCAGGGTGATTCATCCTTTCAAGTGATTTTCCACTGGAACAACAAGAAAAAGTGTACCACCCTGATGATTCACTCTTCAAGACCTACCCTCAACTTTGGGTTTTTTAACCTAGTTACCTTCTATTAAATTGCCCAAACACCCAAGAATGACACCAGGGAAAGCAAATACAATTTTCCAGGTTGAGGCTCAAGTTGAGCTCCCAAATGAAGGGAATGAAGCCCAAATCCACCAATGATTCTTGTTTTTCTTTACTAGCAAGATACCAGGATGACCCCAGTTTTGCCCAAGCTGGACCTTCATGTGATACCGGTTTGGCAAAAAGGAATAACAGGAAAAGGGGTGGTTATCACCGTTCTGGATGATGGCCTGGAGTGGAATCACACTGACATCTACGCAAACTATGTGAGTTTGGGCTCTCACACTCTGCCTATGAACAAAACAGTGGTGGACAGCTCCCTGCTCAGTCGCACACGCATAAAGGAACTGAGCTTTTATTTCCTCAGGCAGGAGCCTGTTCTGACTGGCCTGGGTCATATGATCCAGAGCCTCTTGTCCCTTTCCCTCACCCTTCTGCCAGCTTATCATCAACCTGCTTTGTGTCACTGGGAGGTGAATAGAATTAGTCTCCCAGGAGTAATATCAGAATGGATGTGTGTGGGCATCAGACCTCAGGCATATTCTCTTGTCACAGAGACAAGGTGAATTATTAAAAATCTTCCAGACCTTTTCTGGGCAAAAAAAAAACAAAAAACAAAAAACGGCAGCCTAACAAAATTTAGGTAACTAAATTCACTTTTTAGAATTCACTCTTGCACTTCTCCAAAGATCAGTGTCTTCAATCATGGCACCATGTCATATACCTAAGCTGTACATCCTCCCCAGTGCTCAGATCCAAAGCAGGAGGGACATAGTGAAGGCAGAGTAAAGTGAAGTGAAGCAGTGAGGCAGAAATGCTGAGTGCCCAGCTTCAATCAAGAAAAAAGCATTTATTAAGAGACTATGATGTGAGGACCCTCTTCTAGGCACTGGGGATACAAAGAAAAAAAAATCAGTCTCTGTCCTCAGGGGACTTATATTCAATCTGAGAGGCCCTATGAATGTATATAAAATGTTTACAGCATAAATACAAGGTAATCAAGAGGTTCTTTTAGGTCTCAATTAGTGCAAATAATGAATCCCCTGAAGTGGTAACATTATTTTAATTCTCACTGAATATTCCCATTGGGTTGGAACCAATTACCATATATTATACCATAATTATAACTGTGAACAGTGCTGGAGAAAGCTAAGGAACAGGAATTATGGATAAGAGCTGGAAAGGAACATATACATTTCTTTTTTGGGGGGGTAAGATGGCTAATATGGGAATTTGTTTGGCTTGACTATGCATATTTATCTTTTAAAAGTGCTTTTTTAAAAAAAACTGGGAGATGGAAGAGAAAGAAAATAGATTTTTATTCATTGAAAAATTAAATTAAATTGAAAAAAAAGGAAAATGTTTAAAAAGAAGTCAGGGACAACAGAGAATTCCCAAGAAATGGAAGTGGGTACCACCCTTCAATTCAGTCCTTGTTTGTGAGAATGCTCTGCCCACCTATAGTCTACAAAATAGTTTTTTATCCTAGACCAAGAGACCTCAATTGTACGTTTTAGCCTATGTTCAAACCACAGCTGGAGGCTCAGTGGGGAATAAAATTGGTATAGACGGGAAGAAAGGGTCCAGGGCAAAGGAATGCAATGCATTCTGATCAGATTCTAGGCAAGGTCTAACATTCCTTTTCCCCCAACCCCAAGCTCTCAACTCTAGGTGCTTATACTAGCATAATTCTTCTGGCAGGCACATCAACCCTAAGAAACTCTAAAGCAGTGGGAGGACACAGCACTGTGGAAACAGAAAGACAGAAAACTGGGCTCCAATGGATCAGGGTTCTAGTTCCAGAATCTGCCACTGACTAGCTTTGTGACTTTGAGCATATAATTTAGCCTTTCTGGGCCTCAGTTTCAACAACTAAGGTGAAGGGATTGATCTAGAAAGTAATTTAAGAAATCCCTTACTGCTTTAACACACTATGAATGCTTAATAGTTTCACTGTTCACCAATCTTGTGATAAGCAATTTGCCATCTGTGCCAGAAGAGTGAAGGGGCTAACCTGGGGTTAGCCTGGGGAGAAAGAGTTGTAACAGGTGTGTGTATGTGTGAAGAGGAGAGAGAATAATAAGGTCTAGGAAAAATCTGGTTGCCTGGTGATGTTCAATAAGTGGAACCTAATGGCCATATGTGAAACACACACATAGCACATGAAGATGTAAGCAGCACTGACTGATTCTTTGCTAGGCCACAAGGCCATAGGACTATTATTGCTTCACTTTCTGGGGCTGTAGTAACTGTACTGGACCACCCTTCCCTAAATAGTTAAAATACCAGTTATTGGCTTAACAATCTTCTTTCTAAATTGCCTAAAAAGATTCTTAAAATATACAGTGAATTGTCATTATGAGAATACATTGATTGTGAATTCAAAATTATATCGGTAAATCACTATCCATTATTTTTGATGTATAATTTACATTTACATTGCACCTTATGGTTATGGAACACTTCCACATACCTTGTTTTATTTGAGACTTGCAACAATCCTATAAACTAGGTGGTGCCAATATTGTAATCTCCATTTATAGACTGAAGAAAATAAGACTCAATAGAGATTTTGTGACTCGCCCAAAGTCACATGATGATGGTGCTAAGCCTCAGGCCCAAGTTTTCTGAGTACAGTACCCTAAAATGAGATAATATACATAAAGCTCTTTGCACACCTAAAAAACACTACAGAAATGGGATTATTACCTCATTTTTATTCCCATTATTATTGTTGCTATTATTAATGCTATCACCCTTTCCATGACTTCAGGCTCCCTAGCATTTAGACCCAAGAGAAGGAATAAGCAGATCACTCTCTTATTAGTTTAGCTGTATCTATCACCTGGTTCATTTACATGGCTAGAAGATGCAAGATGTAGGCATGTAGCTCAGGCTAGATGCTACTGATGTACATTCCTCTGAACCATCTCCCAGGGGAGGGTGTGTTGCCTTTGACTAGTCACACTGTAATGCTGATTTGCTGTTTTGGTAGGACCCAGAGGCCAGTTATGACTTTAATGACAATGACCATGATCCATTTCCCAGATATGATCCCACAAATGAAAACAAGTGAGTAAATGTCTATATTTAGAAAAATGCATTTAAATGTTTCCAGTTTGTTTGGGCAAAATGTACTATAAATGACACATGCTTTTCTGCACTCTGGCTACTCAGAATACATAGTGCTTCACCATTTAACTGTAGAACTCTTTGTTCCCACCATCCATGTCACAATTGGGGTTTTGTGTTGTTTTTTAAAAGAAACCAAAACACCTACTATTTTTTGCATCTGTTGTTGCTTATGGGAATTGATTGAATATCCAGGTCAAATTGAGCATTTCAGTTATTTTATGAGGTTACTGAGTATGGTCAGCTGAGCGGTAGCATTGAGGTAAGGGAGAGACTCTCAGCCAAACCACCTTCATTTTCCTTTCCCCCATCCCATCCTTCTTCCTCCACTATTAGCAATACCACTTAAAACTCAGGTTAAGTATCCTTTTTTGGGGGGGGAGGGGGTAAAGGGAGCAAAGTTAAAGGATTCAAGAGATGAAGGGAATTATTACAATTTACTGGGCAGATTTCATAGCTTCTGGGGTCTGCCAATATTGCAGGAAGAACAATAAAACAAATAATTCTATAGAGAATTTTTGATTCATAAGAAACATATCTTTGTCTTAAAGCATCAGATTAGGAATTAGCAATGAAGTGGTGTTGTAGATGGAGTGCAGGGTTTGGAACCAGGAGGTCCTGAGTTCAAAACTGCAGTCTCAGATGTACGACCCTGGGCAAGTCACTTAACCTTCCTCAGACTCAATTTCTTTTTCTGTAAAATGGAGATAATAATATCACTTACCTCTAGGGTTGTCATGAGGATAAAATGAGAAAATATTCACAAAGCATTTTGCAAACTTTAAAGTGCTATATAAATGCTAGCTAGTTTTAAATGGTCTTGATATCTTGACTTTGCCATAATTTAGCTATATGATGTTAGGTAAATTTCTTAATATCCTCATGCCTCAATTTCTCTTTCTAGAAAATAGAAACAATATCCCTGGCCACACCTTCCTACAAATAGTGTTGTGTGTATAAGCTTTTAATCCTTCCATTTTCTGGGTTGGATTCTTCTACTGTTACAGAGGGTGATGGTCTTCTTGGAAGAACAGAGAGGAAGAAAACCTCCCTCTGATGTGGTTTAGGGGTTCAGGGGTGCTGGGACCCCAAAATCACAACACGCGGATCCCGCCGGAAAGAATTTGACCCAAGCTTTCTTTCAGCCAAAAACAAGGTTTATTAGAACATCCCTCATATTGGGCAGACTCTTAAGGAGTCTGAACATGGGTAAGCAGAGGCTGGATTTTTAGATTTTAAAAATCTAAACCATGGCTGGATTTTAAGAATCTCAGCATCTTAATGGAGACAAGAGGGATCTTATATAAGACGATGGAGGGGAGATTGAGTGTAGCCACAATGAAAGTCCAAATGATGGGATTATAACCTCAAGCGAACAGCCAGAGATTACGCCATGTGGGAAAGTCCAGGATTTTTCCTTTCTGGGGCCCAGATCCCAACCCCATCACCTCCACTTCCTCCCATTTTTTCTTGACATGAATAATAATAGCCAACATTTATGTGATGATTTAAGATTTGCAAAGAGTTTTGCATTTGTTTTATAATTGGATCCTCACAATAACCCTGAAAAGTAGGTGCTTTTACTGATGAGGAAACTGAGTCTTAAAAAATTTAACTGACTTATCCAGAGTGATATAGCTAGTGAGTGTTTAAGTTAGAATTCAAATTCAGGTCTTCCTGTTTCTAGCTCCTCTGCTCTATCCACTAACCATCTAACTATATCTGAATGGGGGTGGGAGGGAGAAGTGGAGAATTGCTCCCAACCTACAGGGTAGCCAGCTTAAGGAATGTATGACCAACCCCTATGTATGGAAATGCTGCCCATACTGTACCTCTGGCTTTGATCCAGGTGAGACTCTGAGGTCCTTAAGATTGGGAAATAGCTGTGTAACTTTATGCTCTACAAAGTTGCCTTGCCTGTTAGCAGAGGGGAGCTTAGAGCTACTGCTTGTTTGTGCATAAATGTGTCCACACCTGTATATATTCAATTACACTCTCTTCACTGGGCCTTTACAGGGGCCCAGTACTTAACTCTGCTTTTAGAATGTCACCATATGAGCAGGTCAACTTCTAAGGAAACCGTCATCCAGTGAGAAAGCTGCATGTGCTATGAACCAAGGGGTATGAGTTTCTATAGTTGAGAGCAATTACATATTTAGAGGAGAAATGACAGGCTCCAAAGGTTGTAGAGAAAATCCACCGATCCGATTAGGGCACAGCTATTTAAAAATGACACCATGAGCAGCAATCATTCCAGTTTTTCTTTGTCAACCAAAATGATAGCATCCCTATCATTAATCACGTGGCATTATAGAATCAAGCTATCCGAATAGCATGTTGTCAGAGGATAAATGACTCTGGCTTTGAGAATAAATGTCTTCATTTTGTCTTGACATTTATAGCAATGGGGAATCATCCTCTAATTCCAATGGCATTATCTCTCAAATCTATCTGTATCATTGTGGTTCTCTATTAATATGTAAATGAGATTAATGTGAGCAGTATTTGAATCTGACTCTGCAAGCCAAACTGCAATAAATAACAAAATCTTTGAAGTGCAGCAAACTCTTGCCATTAAATTGAGCCTTTCAGCACCAATTATGGAGAGTACTCAAATGAGAGGTATGACCAAGGTATTTTAACCAGCATAATAATCTTCTTTAAAATGAAGTGCTATCTTGCATAATAATCCTTTTTGAAGTTAAACCTGTTTAAGTGCCAGTCCCTATCATCATTTTAAAAAAAATAATTTCAGGTTCTTTCCCCTTGAGTATATGCCTTAAGAAAAAGAAAAGAAGGATGCTCACATTCTTCCCCTTGGGTTAGGGCCAAGGGATGGAGGAGGGAGAAGCTGTACTGAAGTTAGATGGGTAACCCATCCCATTCCCATTGTTGTTCACAGTGGGAAAATATGAAGGAACAAAGATTTGAGGGTGATCTCTTAATAAGTATTTCCTAAACTCCTATTATATGCCAGGCACTGTACTAAGCACTGGGTATCATACTGTGCTACTTATGAGCCGGGTATGTAACCCACAGAGGGGAAAATTCCTGAGGCAGAGATAATGGGAAAGAGAATAGGGAAGATGTCTAGGAGAGAAGGGCATGTTGTTGGCCTATTGCCCATCCTAGAACAGGATTTCTCATGCTCTTTAAATGACAATGAGTTTTCTTGAGAAAAGAGGAGAAGCTCTACAGGCAAGGAGGAAAAAACCTCCTGTGCTCATCCCCTGCATATTCCCTACAACACTGGAGAAAATTAATGGCAGGATTATCTGCCCTGACTTAAAAAGGGACCCTATACTGAAGGGCACACTTAACCAGACTGCCAGTGTTCTAACTTCTGGAAGGAACCACTAACTCTAATGTCTCTAAACACACTTCGCCACTAAAGAATTTGCTCCATTTATCACATCTGATCCACTTATTCTCACTGAAGTATTAGTGACTGAATATGTTATTTATCTCTTTTAGGAAAACTTATTCTTTTCAAAATTATGCCAGAGGAGGGCAATGTTTAACCCAAAGGAATAAATTTCTAATAGTAGAATCTCAGGCGCTAAGACTATATGAGTGAGAATTCTTTTTCAGAAAGAGAAACTTTCTTAAACTCCCCAAATTATGCCACGTAAATGAGTGCCTACCCTAACTGCTTGGAAGGTCAACCTCTTGTTGGGTTTCTGGTTCCATATGAAATAATTCTGGGAAGAAAGAGCCACAAGCAATTCTTCAGTAATCTCCTATTGGTATTTTGGTTAGCATTCCAAACTCCAAAGGTGCCTTGCTATCTTCCACCAACACTACAAGAACATTGGGAATCCTAATCTGACAAATGATGGGGGTGCTAAGGGGAAGAAAGAGGGACATTAGGGAAGCTATGTGTGTCTTGTTTTAGGTGGGTTCAGAGTTCACTGTTTCCAGGCAGCCAAAGAAACAGCACTAACAAAAGGCAATGCTGGGAGCCAGAGAGCACACTATGCTTGGCTTCTTCCAGTGCCAGAAGACCAGGCTCCAAGTCTCTGCTCTGACACTTACTGATTGGAAGCAAATCATTTAACCTCTCTGAGTTTCTTCATCCATCAAGTAGAGATGATAAATAATAAAACGGCAGCCCTGAGATAAGGTGGATAGTATGGGGGTCAGGGAGTCTTAAATTCAAAATCTGTCCCTTAAACTTTCTTAGTTGCATGACCTTAGATAAGTCCCCTAATATCTCCTAGCCTCAGTTTCCTCATCTGTAAAATGAAGATCATAATAGCACCCACCTCACAATGTTATTTTGTGAGGATCAGATGAGACAGCATATGTAAAGCATTTTATAAACCATAAAGCACTATATAAATGCTAACTATTGTTATTATTTTTGAGCAACCTGCCTCACAGAACTGTAGTAAGGAAAGTGCTTTATAAAGTATTATATAAATGTGAGTTATTGTTGTTATTATTATTATAACAAAGAGTAGAAACATTTATTTCAAACCAATACCTTATGGAAGGCATGACAGTGTCTCGCCTATCTTGGTGTAGAAAGCTTGAAAAGGGACTAGAAAAGGATTCCTGGTTTAGTCTTTCTCTCGACATGTGAGGAAAAGCAATGCATTTTTTCTTATTTATGTTTTCAAATTTTTATTGTTCCCAGGCACGGAACCAGGTGTGCTGGAGAAATTGCCATGCAAGCCAATAATCAGAAATGTGGTGTTGGGGTTGCCTACAATTCCAGAGTTGGAGGTAAATAAACTAAACGTTGTTCTAGATCAAGGTAATGGACCCGTGTAAAGGTTGTCCCTGCCCCTACTGGAAAAGTCCTCCCAAAAAGACCCATGTGAAGCCGACCTTCAGAATCTAAGTATGGCTCATAGACAAATAAGGGGATATAATGTTAAATAAAAGAGTGCATAGCTCTAACACATACATCCTAAAAAAAATGAATGGAAATGTTGAACACATTTTGAGCCAGATGTAGCTTTCCATCTGCTCTGTTTGAGGAAGGTTTATTGTCTAGAGCTTATAATGTGGCAGCTAAAGCAGCCAAAATTTCCCAGCTTCTTGCTCCACTATATATTCTTTATTTGAGTGACAGACATCTATATATCCATGTGTGCATGCATACATGTGGGTATATACATACATGTATATATGTGTACATTTACATATATACATGTGTGTGAATACACGTGTGTGCATGTACATGCATATATGCATATGCATATGTGTGTGCATGTGCATATATACATATACATATACATATACATATACATATACATATACATATACATATACATATACATATACATATACATATACA